GGATTGTAGTTGCAGCGCCTTGCCACTAGGCCACCAGAGCTCCCCTAGAATCTGCATTTTAAAATAATGACTGTAGAATGATACAATCTTTCTGGAGAATGGCTTGGCAACATGTATCAGAGTCACAGAAATTGTGTGTCTATTTTAACCCAGTAGGAAGCCCTTGTTAGTAGTTATCAAAGAATGTGGCTGCTAATCCAATTAGCAATTTGAGCCCACCAGGAGAAAGTTGAGGCACCCACCCTCAATGACCCTGACAGCCAGGAGTGGACGGTGCCTGGCTTCTACTGCTGACTGCTCTGAAGGGGCTTACATACAATAGAAAATGTGGAATAAAAGTCAAGATTTTTTTGAAAGACTAGCTTTAGTTTGCTTGGCTCCACTATCAACACTCTTGGTACCAGCAGCCAGGAAGTTAAAAGACAAATTGCAAAGGTGCAACAATGAATGAATAGAAATCCAAAATCTCTGTAAATGTTCACTGAAATTAATAATTAAAAATAGGGGAAAAGGTAAATTGCATTGGGAAAATCTGTTGTCAGAGACCTCTCCAAAGTGCTGAAGAGCAACAATGTCAGTCTGGGGACTAAGGTGCACCTGATCCAGGCCATGGACTTTGCAATTGCTTGCTATGTTTCAGAGAGCTGGACAGAGACTAGGGATGATAGAAGGAGAATTGATGCCTTTGGGCTGTGGTGCTGGAGAAGAGTATTGAATATACCATGAACTAACTGCAAAGAAACCAAACAGGTTCAACCTGAAGAGGATTAAACCAGGCTGCTCCTTGGAGGCCAATGAGTCTGAAGCGTCATCTGACGTACTTTGGACATGTTGCAAGGCTGGACCAGTCCTTGAAGAGGGATGTCATGCTTGAGAGGGTGGAGGGACAGCACAAAAGAGGAAGACCCTCAATGAGATGGATTGATTCAGTGACTGGAGTAATGGGAGTAGGTGTATCAGAGACAATAAGATTGGTACAGGAACGAACAGGGTTTAGGGCTATTGTACATAGGATCACTATGAGTCACAAGTGACTCGATGGCACACAACAATAACAACAACAACAACAAAGGGTTACTGGTCTGGACTATAGCCCTTAGACATCCCTCAGAAACTGAACACACCATTCCCCAGTGGCTCAACTTATAACAGACAAGCCTGTAAGATAATCAATAATGCCAGAGAGGTAAGCCTTCCTTAAAATAAGCAATCATAGGAAAAGGTTTAAAAGGGAGAAAGGCAGCATTTGCTCAGAGATGAGGCCCAGAAGGCAAGAGGGCTAGAAAAGAAGGACGAGTGAAAATGGGAATCATAGGGAGGGAGCAGGAAGAGTGCTGTAGCATCATGGAGGAGGTTATGTTCAACGAAAATCAACACAATGTATATGAGCCAGGAACTGATTTGTAAGCCTTCCCCCAGATCACAAGAAAACGATAAAGAGACAAACAAGCCGATAGCTTTGAAAACTTCATGGGGCACTTCTGGCTCTGTCCCTATGGAGTTGTGCTAGGAGCAGAAAATGGCTGGACGTCCAGCGAGGGGTTTATGGGTCGTTGCTTCTTGGAGCCCTGCCCCCGCCACCTTGCTCACGAGTCTGCCTCTCCTCGTCCCTCCCCCCACTCCATCTTGAGAGGTTCAAGAATGTAAAAGTGGGGAGAAGGGTTCCCGGAAAGTGGTCCCCTCCCCCACTGAGAGTTCTAAAGGGTTTTGGGGGGGGCATTAAAGAGGGTGAGCTGTAGAAATTGAGATGCAGAAAGATCCAGAAGTGAAAAGGGTCAAGTCTTTGAAGTCCCTTCAACTGGACGTCTTGAGACTTGGACAATTTGCAGGATGTGGTTTGGGGGTGGGAGGAGGGGGCTAAGTATCTCAGATCTGACTCTCCAGGTTCCTTCCCTCCCACCCCCCACCCCGAATACCTTCAAGTTGACTGCCCCATGATGACCCTGCAGGCATCAGAGTAGAACTGGACAGACTTAAGGTTTCAGGAATTCAGGTCACTAGGCCTTTCCTGGGGAGTGGACTGCTTGCACCTCCCAGAGCCTCCCATCAGCCCTATATTGTATCAGAAACTCGAAAAAGTGAATCTTCACGAGGCCTCTAGGTTAAAAAAGCACAAACATCTGTACTGGTTTGTGGTCCCCCCTTGTCAGCTCCTGAATGCTGATAGAGGCTGTCAAGTTCAACACAGGGCCCCCACCAGCGACAGGCCTGAACCCTGCCCTGTCCTGGCCATCCTCCTGATCTCTGACACACCAGAGCCCAGTGCTGCAGTCACTGTGTCAAGATCCATCTCATGGAGTGAAAATGGGAATCATAGGGAGGGAGTGGGAAGAGTGCTGTAGCATCATGGAGGAGGTTACGGTCAATGAAAGTCAACACAATGTGTATGAGCCAGTAAGTGATTTGTAAGCCTTCCCTCAGATCACAAGAAAACATTAAAGAGACAAACAAGCCAATAGCTTTGAAAACGTCTGTGGGGCACTTCAGCTCTGTATTCTCCTTTGCTCACCCCCCCCCCTTTCCAAGCAAGACGTTGCTTCCCAAGGAAAAGCCACTCCTAGCAACAGGCAGCGCCCTACACTTTGCCTGAAGTCCGTACAGAAGCAGATTACCAGAACTTTCCTCCGCTCCCTTAGTCCAGGGGCTCTGGCTAGGATTTGAGGGCCGGGGGTGGGGGTGGTTCTCAGAAGACTATCAGGGCGAGACCTTGGGGATGGGTACCCAGATTTGGTGAGTGGAGGTTCAGGATGCAGTGAGGAGTCCTGAGGACCCAAGTTTGGGAATCACAGAACGAACGGGGGCCCTGAGATTTGAAGGTGAAAAAAGATGGGAGTCCTAAGTCAAGGGCTTGCAGGCGGAGCCCCCCCAGTACCTGACCAGTGTGGCAGCAGTGGGGCCAGCGAGCAGCAGGGGCAGCAGTAGCAGGAACGATGGTGCAGTCATGGTGGCTTCCTGACTGTGGGCCCAGCAGCTCCCTGGGGCCCCTTTCCTGACCCCAAGACTCCGCCCTGTTCTCCACCCCCCTCTGGCCTTGGACCAAAAGAGTCACCAGGACCAAAGGAGTCCCCAGGAGGCAGGATCTTCTGGGGAGACTGGGGTGGGGGGAACTTGGGGAGGGGTATCCAGAGAATTTGAGGGGTACCCTCAGCTTTGGTGGAGGTTTTCAGCCAGGACACCTCTCCCACCAGTCCCCTCACCCTCTCCGTCCCCACCCTGGCTCTCTGAGACACTTCTGCTTTCCACTTTCAGTTCACTTTTCTGAAATTCATTAACCACAAGTGTTTCATTAACCACAAGTGTTTGTGAAGGGTCGTGAATATGGGGGGAAGGGAAAGGGTCAACCCAGATACCGTCCCCCCAACTCTCGTAGGAAGTGGACTGTTGAGAGTTTTCCCCAACTCTTCTGTCCTTTTTTACCTTTTTATCTGGAAAATACTGAGAAACACAAATTTGAGGAAAAAAAATTTTTTTAAATCAACCGTTGTCACTAACAGTGCTTGTGTGAAAAGAATTCACGGTGTCTTTCTGTCTATGAGCCCTGGTGGTTGAACGACCAGACACTGAGCTGCTGACAGAAAGAAAGGTCAGAGGTTCGAAGCTGCTCCCTGCTTCACAGGAGGAAAAAATGATGCAACCGGCTTCGCAAAAGATTACAGCCTGGGAGATCCTGGGACGATGCCTGTGTCCTGCGGGATCACTGTGTGTCTGATGCCACTTAACAACAGCGAATTGGTTTGGGTGTAAGGACTCTTAAAACATCCTTGGTGACACAATATAGTTAAAATGCTCCCTGCTATCCGAAAGGTATAATGATAAAAGTTATACAAGTGCTCAGGTCTGTCTTTCATTCATAGGGTCGCTATGAGTTATCTACGACTCAACAGCACTTAACAACAACAATATAGAGAGGGCTCTGTTGGCCTAGTGGATAGAAAGTGATGTTACCAACCCAAAGGTGGGTTGTTTTAATCTGCAGCCCTCAGGCCTGGTTTTAATTGCGTTTGGTCAAACATTCTTCTAAGTGGTACAGCACTGGTCTGTCCACTTGCTGTACAGAAGTAACTCGTGGTTGCTGTGATGCTGAACACTGTGACACTAATGTGTCAAATGCAATATTGGTCACCCATGGTGAACAGTGTTTGGTGGAGCTCCCCGATTAAAACAAGCTTGGAAGCAGGAGTGGCATCCACTTTCATAATAGCTTGCCTCCGGAAGCCCTATGAACCTGGAGAAGCAATGAAAGTTATACAAGTGTTCTGGTCTTTTGTTCATAGGGTCAGTATGAGTCGACTACAACTCGACAGCACTTACCAACAACAATAACAACAACAACAACATCCAAAAGGTTACTAGTTCAATTCCACCAGCTACTCTGAGGCAGGTGGACATGGGACATTGCTATATTTGTGGAAACCCCAAGGGGCTGCTCTGTTTTCTCAGACAGGATTGTCAGAAGGTGAATTGACTCAAAGCCAATGACAAGGGTGTGTATGTGCCAGGTTCTGCTCTTGTTAATTTGTCTGCCAGTCCTTCTCCTCCTGGAAGAATCTTCTGGTTTTAAGGGCCATCTGAAAAGTAAGAGAGGGGCAAAGGTGGCCCTGTGGGGAGGTGGATGAGGAAGAAATGATAGGGCACAGGGGTTGGGGCGGGGCGTGGGGTACAGCTCAAAGCACGTAATCCACGTGACTGAAAAGCGCTGGGCTGGAGTGTATTCTGCTGTCTGTTCTCAAGCACAAAATAGAATAAATGATGGACTGATGGTAAGGACACCAGCAAGCTTGCTGAAGACGCATATTCTTGCATCCCAGGGAGTTTGGCCCAGAGGCAAGAAGCTGCACTGCAATCCCAAAGGCACACAGTTCGAGGCCACCAGCTGCTCTGTGGGAGAAGGATGGGAAATCTCCTCCCATGTGAGTAACTGCCCCTGAAAACCTGCTGGAGGGTCAGCTATGGGTTTGTTCTGACTCTACAGTACACACACAACAACAACAACGACTTCATAGGGAGTGCTGGTGGGGCCTATGCAGCCCATAACTGTTAATAAATCAAAATGACCAGACACCTTACACATGATTGTGAAGGAAATCAAGTTTCTCAAAGATGTCTATGCCACTCTCTTCCCTGGGTTTGTTTTAAAAATGCAGTTACCTGGGCCCTTGCACGCAGAGCCTGATGGCATGCTGGGTAATATGTCGGGCTTCTAACCGAAAGGTACGTGGTTCAAATCTCTTTGTTGGAAGAAAGAAGATGAAGTGGTCAGTTCCCACAAAGTTTTACCACCTTGGATAAGTACCAGGGATGGGAAGGGAGGGAGTTGAGAGGAAAAATCAATAAACAGATGAACTGAAGGAAGAGAAAGGCAATATACAAGGGGGTTGAGCAGACATTGTCATTCACTACACAAGTAGTTGCAGTTAATGTTAGGGAGAAGTGTGGAGGCCTATTGGGTAAAGAGTTGCGCTGCCAACCAAAAGGCAGGAAGTTCGAATCCACCAGCTGCACTGAGGCAAAGGTCAGAAATTTCCTTTTGTGGGATTTTTTTGCCTCTAAGAACCCACTTGAAGGTCAGAGAGGAGTGAGTTCTACGTGGATGGTGATGTGACTGAATTAGTGCAGTAAAGCAAAATGCATATGAATTGCTAAATTAAAAGCAATCTGATTTCTAAACTTGTTTATCTTTGTAAGTGTTAAAGGGTAAAAGAAAATATCTGTAGCCTTGGAACCAGAGAAGGTATCACCACCTCAACCAGGAGTCTGAATGGTTGTGGTTCCTAACTCTTGGGGCCAGAATCCGTGAGGGGCTCTCTCATTTTCACTTCAAAACCAAACCTCAAGGGATCTCTGTGGCCTAGTGGCAAGAAGCGGCACTGAAATCCCAGAGGTACGTGGTTCGAATCCACCACATGATCTGCTGGAGAAGGAAGACCAATTTCCTCCTGTACCTGTCAGATCCAAATTTGATGGTAAAAACAAAATAATAAAATAAATATTTTTAAAAACAAACCAAAAAACCCAGACTCAGAGCTGACTCATCTTTCTCGGGCAGAGCAATTGGTGGATTTTGAAGAGAGAGGCGTGGCCTGTGGGTTACCAGTGTGACTCCCTGTGAAGCCATTGTTGTTGGTGTGTGTGTGTACTGTAGAGTCACACCTGACCCATAGTTGACCCTTGAGCCGGTTTCCCCTGGTTGTTAGGAAACGTAATAAATTGCAGATAGGACAGGGAGGTTCAGGCTTCAAAGGTCTATATCGAGGACAAGCTGGTGGACGAGCATATGATCTGGGAAGTGACCTGTCTTGCATGGAATTCTTTCAAAAATGTGGGTCAGCTTGAGAATCTTTGTTCTCCTTGGTACCAACAAATGGAGCACCGGGACCCAAGCCGATAGATGCACACCCGTGTTTTTCGCGGCTTTGATCGCAATAGCAAACAGCTGGAAACAACCCAAGTGCCCATCAACAAATGAATGGACATAGAAGCTGTGGTATATTCACACAATGCAATAATACGCTGCATTAAAAAACAAGAAACTCACGAAATATTATTTAAAACGGGTGACCCTGGAGTACATTATGCTGAGTAAACTATCTCAGTTACAAAGGACAAATACTGTATGGTGCCACTGTTGTAAAACAGGACTGATCTCGGGATTGGGGAGGAGAGAGAAAGATGGGATAAATAATGTATGCTGCATTGAAACAGATGAGGGAGAGAAGTGTTTAAAAGGGATATGTGATTACGTACGAAAGTCATGACAGGAGTCCAGAACAAAGGCTGCATAGTGGAGTGGACCTGGGGGGAGGGATTGGAAAACAGTGAAAGAATTTTTTTTTACTTTTCAAAGAGA